GTGAGTGAGTCTATTCGACTCTCCACCGCAACTCGCAAGGGTTTATTGTGGCTCACACCTATTCACACTAGACCAAATAAACCTTGCTTCTTAACGGAGCCGATTAGTTTGTATGGTGAGTGGTATTTCAAGTCAGATGGTAAGAGTACGGCTCTGCTGAATTCTAAAAACCTGATTCGGCCCCCAGCGGGGCAGGCAAAAAGTATATGCTCTGATGTTTCACAGTTTTCCAAACAGAGGCGACACATAGTGTCTTCTGACAGTTCAAATCTCTGCATATGATGATTCAAATGACAGTAATCTGTGAGAGAAGGCCTGTTAGACATCGTAGTTCATCCATACTGTAGTCCAACAACTCTTTGGTATGAAGCTTCGAAGGGTGAATAAACACCTTGGAGTGAGCCAATCCTGAAAGATTCTGCCAGAAGTCCATAAATCTTGCCATTCAGATGTTCAACGTTTGTTTGGCAAAGCCTAAAGCGATGCCAATGACAGGTTCTGGTCTGATGAAGCTGCTTGTAGCACCCTCCTTTGCAAGGGAGTCGGCAGCCTTATTGCCTTCCAGGCCAGTTTGGCCAGGAATCCAGACTAGACACAATCTGTTAGGTCTTCCTATCGAGGAGAGTCGTTTATGGCAATTTACTACCAGTTTAGACGTTGCTGGGTAGGGGCCAAGAGCTTCCAATGCCGGTTGACTGTCCGAGAATACTTTTATTGACTTGTGTATGAGATTGGATTCTTCCAATCTCTCCGCACAGAATTCAATAGCGTAAATTTCCGCCTGAGGACGCTAACTTGGTTAGCGAAACGCCCGTCGAGAGACCGTAATTTTTGTTCTGGTGTTGTGAAAGTGTTTTCAATAGATGTGAATCTGAATATGATTTTATAATCAGTTTTGTTGTTGGGACATTGTGGGTTTATTTCTTGAAGATTTGTGTTTTGTAACTTTGAAAATTGTTCAGTGAAAAGTCAGTAAAGGAATACGGTTACAGATTGGAGATTGGTTGGATAGGTTTCTGGTTAGAGAATTGAAAGTTGTGGGTGTGAAATCAATGGGTTTTAAGAGTGGTAACTTTTGTATTGTTTGGCATATGAAAAGTGATTTTCGTCTATTCCATACTTGGGAAACATTAGTGACTCACAAAACTTTCTCTACCATGTTCCATCATATTTTTCACCAACATTCTGTCAATCGAACCCATCTTCATTTCTTCACTCCAAATCTCTGAAAATATGAATATATTAAACACAGTTCATTCCTAACTTCTGTAAATACACTTTTTCCTTCATCTTTCCTTTTCATGAACAGTGATCCACAGCACTTTCATTTCAAAGAATTGGAATAGAAATAGGTCCAAAAATCAGCATTTTTTCAGCAAGTAGCCTATTTTCATTATGTGAGCCCAGTTTTATAAAATTGAAGGATAAATAATTTTTCTTATTGATGTCATACATGCTAACAAATTATGTCTGATAAATATACACTACACACTCAGTATTTAAAAATATCGGTCAAATATATATCTCAATATATTAAATTTCACCAGGCGTTTCTCACTTTTACTCGTAAATTAGTTTTGTGCAGTTTGACGATATTTTCTCTCAGTGAAGCGGATTGATTGATTTCTGAAGTTGAAAATTTTCATTATGGAGTATGCCTCTCGAATAAATCAAAAGTTTTTTCTGCGGAAACTTGTGTTAACTCAAATCAAGATAAGGGTTTGAATAATGGATATACTTCAGCTAATTGTGATTCATCATAATTTGTATTGATTCTTTTATGAGTTTCTCATCTCTGAAAAAGAAGTCTGATTGCGTCTAAAAATAACTCAGTTTATGAGACAAACATATTTCCATTTCTGGAGTGGATTCAATAACTACAGGAAATATATACTTTCCTATTGTATAGAAAGTTTAGGAACCGCAAACGGATTGTTTGCTTCAGAATTTAGTAGGCTAAATGCTCAAAATCTATTGAATACCGACCATTTGATCAGGATTCAAGGTGCCATATAGAAAATTTAATATTTAAAAAAGATAGTTACAACGTACTGGAAGTCATATCATAAGTTACTTGAAGGCATCTGATATATGCACCAATATTATTCGTTATATAATAACGTTAAAGAGTCCTAATCTCCGAAAAAAAAAACATCTTCAATACTCTTATTATGTTTTAACATACATCTTCAATGTATCTGAAAATTTGTATCTCTCGAGAAGAACAAAAGAAGAAAAAAGAAAAAATGTTTATTTCATATTATCTATAACAACTTGCTCACACTATCGATAAATCAGTAATCTTTTCCACACCTAGTTGATTGATATAGTAAAGAATTGAAACTTGAAACCAAAGGCTTTTATTGAGCCTGAAGAAGAAATTATATTTGTTACAAACACTCGGCGGTTTTAGTGTCCATTATATATGAAATACAGCCACTCAATTTATATTATTCATATACTTTCATTCAATTCATTCATTCATATTCACGTTATACTTTTTATACTTTATAGTTTATCGTGATTTTTTCCCAAAGGGACAGCCTAGTGCATGTGTCTGGCATTTTACATAATCTGGATTCCAGCAAAATGTATTCTTATCTCAGAAAGAACAGAGTGCTACAAATATGCTCGCTACTCAAATATTGTTCTGCTCCTTCGAGTGACTGAGAGACCTCAGGAAATACTTCACATAGAAGGCTGAAGAATAATATGTTTTATTCATTCATTCATTCCTGATGAAGGCAGATAATGGGCTTCTAAAGTTGGATTGTCCTACTTAAAAAAACTCATGGTGCCTATATAGAAATCAAAAGATCTCATCTCATGAATCATGGCAATTAACTGTCGGAGAAACCAATGAACTTGTCTTGGTTTCTCAAACTAGGTGTCTGTAAGAAGCTGCAAACATCAAACTTGCGGAGATTGCTTCACATTGCAAAATCATAATGATTAGTTAAAGCATTAAGTTTTCTTCAACAGTATAAAAGACTCGGTTCATTCAAGCATATCACTATTGACTTCATCAGGTCAAGTGATTGAAAATTGAAGAATCGGAGGTCTGCCAGGCTGGGGTCTCTATCACTCTCATCTACCGTAGCTTCATGATGGGAATGAGAAATCATGACATCAGATGCAGAGCTAGCTACAGAAACAATTATACATTCATTATAAGCGTTCTCAGTGCAAGAAAGATAGTGAATAATTCAAGAACAAACTCTCTACAAAAACGTGTAGATCCTTCATAAAAGTTACTTTCTGATAAAAACTGGAAGTTAATGCCCTTTCGGAACAACTACTTTCTAACATTGAATTACACGAAATAAAAAGTACTTTCGAAACGTTTACTTTTATATGAACATTACAACATGAAGCTAACAGTAGGTTATGGCATTCATACGCTTTATTCGATTCAATCACAGCCACAACTTGTTTTTCTCACTGCGGGATGAAAAGTTCGCTTTTCGTCTCCTGCATATGGGACAAAAGTGCCTCATTCTCACCCGGTTAGGTAACACTAACGCTCATGCTCATAACTTACTTTTTGTACAACTATCATAAAAAGTGACATTTTTAATGGTTGTCAAGAGTATTAAAAGATGATGTTTACAAAGTAGCGTGTTAAAAATATTTTTAACAGGATTATTTTCGACCAAATAGCAATAAATAAAACATGATTATTNTATTGTTCTTCGTTATGCAAGACATTAAACACCAGCCAGCAAGAACTTTGAATGTTACTTTAAATAAAATGCGTGAGTTGTAAATGATAATGTTTGATGGTGAACAGGTGATTAGGCGTCACCTGATACGGCTACTTCACAGCAAATGCGATAACATGAAATCAGTTAACTGACAAGAGATGACAAAATGTGTTTTCATAGAAATATTAAATTTATCTATTTTATTATAAAAACAGAACAGTTGTAAAAAAAACTTTGTATGATATTTGTGTTGAAAGAAAGTTTTATTTTGTTCGTGAAATTGCTCAACTCGCTACGCTCGTTTCGCAAACTTTTTCACTCACATTGGCAGTTCAAGATCTTCAAATGATGTGGTGCTGCAAGTTTTTCCGTGTTTTCTTGCAGCTGAAAAAGCAAATGTGCTACTGGAATCAATGACGTCGCCCCGGAGTGCCAATTAATTTTTGCAGTTCATAATTTCATGATTTGTACTCACAAAATAAAACCTTACTTTCTACACTCATTTCATTCTCGATAAGCAAGCGACGAATTGTTTAACAAACTTTATGACAACTTCAAATACGTGACGCGCCTAGGTGCATAATATACTAATTTTCTCTGAGGAACAGTTATTTTTTCAAACACAAGTCCAATGAAAACACTTTTTCCTTACTTTTTCTGTTTCTCCTTGTGCATTCTTCTGAAATAATACAATTGAGAATAATAGTCAATTGACCATGAGTTCCTATTTGCACTCGAATTTTTATTGAAAATGGCAGCCTACTTCACATAATATTTCAAAGTTAATGTTGTTTAGGCAAATGGAAAAAACCCAGGAAACGAACGGAATGGAAATTACTTTCGGACGAGAGCGAGATAAGATATTAGGCTGCTTCCTCTCCTATAAACTCCAGCAGCACCTGTATTTTTATTATGGCTGAAAATATATTGCAGTTCTAGCTACGTACGAACCATTAATCACATCTTTTCTATCTTGAATTATCGTTTTGATGAACATGTAATTTAACGTTATTCCATTTCACACTAAAAAGTCGCAAACAATTTAAATTCTCCAGATTCTCATCAATATTTCTGCTGTAAATCATTGTTTATTGTATCGGCGCACAACTGTGTAATGATCGATTGCTTCAATAAACAACATGATTTTTCTCGACGCCACCATATTGAAATGTAGCATGTAGCTCGGGAGTTACGTTTCGTATGGGACCAATTTCACTACTGACTGCCAAAGCATGCAGAAAAAAAAGATTTGAGTGGTTTCATATATGTTCTAATTGTTTTTTTTTTCTGTTACAGATTTTATAGAAATGATGCAAGGCTTTCTCCATCTTTTTATGAAGGCCTTCTTGATTTTACTAGTTGCTGCGTTAACCACCTCCAATGCCAGGCATCTGGGAGAAAATAGTTTGCCAGAAAACAGTCAGGTTAGCCATTTGTAAACTGTCATGTGCCATTGTTTCTGAATGAAAACAAAATTCTTTCAATACATGCCGATTGACATTTAGAATGTATTTTTAAAGTAATGCAATATTCCCGGATTAACCTGGCTAAGGTGATTCCAAAAATGTATCAGAAATTGAATCCAGTCGAAACAAAAAATAATATCACAATTGATACCAAATATTTAATTATACATAATTTTATCAAAGTTAATTATGCAAAATTGAATTATTGATATTCATGATAATTAGTACAAATTTTTATGTAATATAATATAAACTTAATTTTCAATCCGCGTTTCACTGCATAGTAAAATCCTCAGTTGGACTGCTGTTCAAGACTACGTATATTGTGGAATTTTGTAATTATTATCGTAACTAGTGTTATTGATTTTCACCAAGTAACGGGTCATTGTATTCAAAATCCAAGTTTTTGTTCCATTCCAAAAATTCTGTATCCTGTACTAGTATGAAGTATGGACATAATTTGTGTTGTCCATGGATTGTTTGCCTCATGTATTCCATTAACTAGCCTGAAATATGAAGAACTGTCTGTGCATTACATGCAGTTGAGATCTCCAATATACAGCTCTTTTTTGTTCAGGTGTCGTCCCAATGGATAGTGTCAGTTCTGTAGTTCTCTTCACAAACGATGCCTTCATTAATTTCCACTTTCCAATGTGGTTCTGTATTGAAGATTTTGGTAACTCTACAAATGATCCAGGATCTACGAATGAAGTACATAATTTGTATCTGACACCTAGAATTGTGTCAATATTTCCATGTCGCCGGTTTCTCCAGTTCTTAATAGACCAGTCTCGATAAAATTGTTGAATTAATCAGTACTACAAGTGCAGGCTGGCTGTCTGCGAAACTATTGATCTGCTAATTTTGCTAAGGTCTCAAATCATCCACAATGTAGAGGTTTTTTGCTGTTCTGGATGTACAACCTTCCATAATATGAAATAATTAAAGCTGAATCAATAATCTGCTGAAATGTAATAAAGCGCAAACAAAAAAGGTCACTCCGGAAAGTTACTGCGTAAAATGAAACGTCACGCATTCTCCAGCTTACTCTCAAGTCAAGCGCGCACAAAGAGGTATTACTTTAAAAAACCAGGCAGTGTATTGTTAAAATTATATCTTACAACATATTTTATAAACATAATTAAAAACGAACATCACAACATTCCTATTAATGACACTCAGTCCATCTCATTCAGTCTAACGTAATTAGACGTGACAAAGCGTTTTGTTAGCTATCTTGTCATTTGATTACAGCGATACATCTTTTGAATTCGATAGAACTTGAAAAATATATACAGGGCGATGAGGATCTGTCGTATACGTTTGTCAATTTTTTTAAATGAATCCTCCAGAAATACCCGTTGAATACCAGACTGACTATAAAATTCTTCTTATTCTTAGTATTCAAGTTATTATCCTATCGGACATTTGAGTCCTCAAAATAATTTGATTGTAAATCATCTGAAAAAGTATAGATATCATCGCCATACATTCGTTTAGACTATTTTGATTATTCAATCACACAAACAGAGATAATGATTCTTACTACTGAGTTAAAAGTTATGCTACACAAGTAAAATTTGAGTTTTTGATCGAAAACAAAATTGAGATATTACTGAAATGACTTCTACCTCACCAATAAAATTCGACGTGAATTCTCGATTTGAAAATGTTTTTGTTTTTTCAGTTTATTGTAGACCCGGACAACAATCAATACGAACCCGGCATGAAACAGTGGCAGATGGAACTGATCGCACAAAAACTGGCAGAACTCAACAGTCCAATTGGATTTCAAAGAGATCTAAGGAGTGAAACCGAACGAAAACGTAGATTCAGAGCCTGCTACTTCAACCCGGTCAGCTGCTTCAAGAAGTAAAATATAAAAATATTTAATTGGTTTTGTATTTGGGAATTATTTTGGTAAAGCATTCAAAGGCACACAGGCATGAATAACTGTCAGAAAAATTCAACCTTCATAAAATGGTTCACTTTCTTCACACCCATTCTTCTGAGAATGAAAAAATCTGAATGAACCAAAGACCATATTTTCAATATTCAAAAATAATGTTCAACTACTTTATACCAAAATAATTCTACATGTTTATTCGAATTGATCAGAGCTATGTAATATATCAGATGTTGAATGTGAAATTATTTTCAGTCCAAAGTTTTTCCAAAAGTATTACAAATCACCCGGAATATGATGATTTGTATTGATATTGATAACCACATATTTCGCGTCATTTGTACTGTTTCAAATTTTGATGTTTACTATGTAGGATATGATATGAAATTATTAAATTAATCAAAGCTATGTGCTATTTTATTTGAACTCTTTCGCAGATCACTACAACTTTGTTTAAATATGTTTAAAATACGTATTTTCGGTTAACCAGCTATCGCACCCCTACGAACGACAACCCTCGAAGTCGAAACTTGTGCGAGGTAAGGACTAACGTGTACACGTGTACACGGCCGATTGACTGAGTGAACAAAGCACCCACGTCGAACTGTACGGCTACCGACCGATCAGGGAGCTCTGCAGTGTAAATCAGTTGTATTGACATTAGAGAGATGGCGGTATATTCAATTTTGGAGTTTGTGATCGTTAGAAGACCCGCAGCAGAAGCTCGAGGTTAGCCGCCAAAATTACGAAAGCCAATAATATCAGATGGACGATCCAAAAATTCCATCCATACAAATCACCAGAAGTTGATAAAATCTATTTGGTTTCACTACATAAGGGACTTGATGCATGGCAACAGTGGATATTACATACACCACGGAATTTAAATACCTGGGGGTGACTTTCGACCATGGCTTAAGAAAAAACTCCATTTCCAAGAAACAACCCATGAGACCAGTATGATCCTGGGAATTTGCGGAAAAACTGAAGGTTCAACCTAAAAAGAACACTATGGCTATAAACAAGGATGATGAGACCCATGATAATATACAGTGTGTAAAAGCCAAATGGAATAAATTCATTATTTCGGTTACGGTACATATTTTAACGAAATCCCGAAACATGTCTAATTTAAATTATAATTTGACATACATCAACGGAAAAATGCTACCCCTTGTGATATACCGTATGAAAGATCTCTTCATTCTCTATTCAAAAATGTTATCGTTTTCAAGTTTATTGCAACAATCAGGATAAAATAAATTAAAATCATGTGGTTACCGAAATTTGATCAAATACACTCGAAACTTATTGCAATATACTCAAAACGTATTTCATGTTGAGGTATTGACAATAAAAAAGTAACCAAAAACCAGAGCAATGTTCTTTAAAAAACTGTAAATAATTTCCATGGTAGCGTAAGTTTAAAACGCCTTGTTAACTTGATTTGTATGTTACAACATTAGTTGTCAGTATTTTGATTTAAGGTTAAAGTTCGTTAACTTCAAGTCTGACAAATAGTTGGATTAACAGAAATTTATAAAATAACAGTTTTACAAATGTTTGGTTACGAAGATAAAACCCTAACACAACAGGAAGTACCTCACCTATTTCATGAGAAATTTCCTAATTTATCGCCCATATCTCACGGAAGAATAAGCAAAATAGAGAAGCAGTATCGCGAGCTTGGTCATGCGAGGCAGATAAAAAAAGCAGCTGCCTATGCAATGGGTGATGGAATCAAATTAGATGTGATGCTTGAGTTTGAGGAAAACCCACGTACATTGAGTAGACAGGCATCCACTACATTCAATGTTTGCCATCCATCGATAGTTAACTATTGAAAAATAATAAAATGAATCTCTTCAAAATGCCACCTACTCAGGAACTCATGGAAGACGATTTGATAAAAGATATTATTTTCGTGAGCAAACGATGGACATGTTGGATAACAATATCATCCAATTAGGTGGCGATATGTTTTCTGATGAGTGTACTTTGTCTCTTAACGGTCATGCTAATCGACCAAATTGCTGCTACTGGTCAACGAAAACTCATCACTGGATGATAGAAGAACACACCCAATACCCTCAAAAGGTTAATGTTTGGCAGGGATTGTAGGAAACCATATCACTAGTCCTTTTTTCATCTAGGATAACTTGAATGGCGATAATTATTTGGCACTACTTCAAAATTATGTCATTCCAAGTTTTGCAAATTTATATCCTGGTCTAGGAAACCCTCAAGTTCCAGTGAATACGATATGGTTTCAGCAGGATGGAGCACCACCACATTACCAAGTTAATGTCCGGCAATACCTCGATACAACATTTCCCAAACGGTGGATAGGGAGGCGATTGAATTGCCAGCGCGATTTACTGATCTTTCATCATTAGATTTCTTTTTATGGGGATATGTAAAGAGCAATGTGTACAAAACTAAAACTTCAGATTTGAATGACTTAAAACATCCAATAACGCTTGCGATTAAGTCGGTCATGCCTCATATGTTAAATAATGTTAGAAGAGAGTTTTATTTGGGATTGGGATGTTACCAAGACGTTCGTGTTGAACATTTTGAACGTCTACTTAGTTAATATCCAGGCTACTAAGTCGCATTGAAAGTTTGGTATGCCTGAGTGAGACAGACCCCAACGACCCCAACTGCAGCTCTTGAGGTTTTGTTTGGATTTCCACCACTGCATACCTATATTAAAAAAGAAACCCGAATGGTGAAACACCGGCTAATACAGGAGCCAACTCCGAACAGCTAGTCGCACGGGAAAAAACCTATAACTGTAGGCAAATTTAATACTGAAAATGTCAGTGGACAATATTGTCTCACAGGAAAATTTCAATAAAAGCTTCAAAATCATCACAACAAGCAGATAAGACTGGAAGAACGGTCCAATTCTCGAAAGCTTGGAACACTGTTCCGAACCAGAAAACTGTACACACCTGAGCAACTTTTGATGCTTTATGAAGCTCAGATTGGATGTCTTTTTTGAAGTATTGTTCTCATGAATGGAGCTCCGCCCCCAATCATACCCTGAGGCTGCTGGATTACATCCAGAAAAGAGCCATCTTTCTGATTGGAGACGCGAACATCACTTGTAGCCTAGGTCTGGAATATCGAAGAATGGTTGGAGATGTGTCTCTCTTCCATAGATACTTTCAAGGGATGTGTCCAAGTTACTTGGCATATTTGATTCCACCCTTTTTTATTTTTTGCTAAATTATGTGTACTCAAATTTATTCTAGTACTAAGTGGAATGAATGCTTTTTGCGTTTTTCATATAAAAATAGAACAAGTTAATCCAAACAATGAGCTATGCCATGAAAAATACTTGAACAATGAGATACAATCATTCTTTTATTGACTTCATTAGTCATCACTAGTTCCTATGAGGTAAATTGGCTTATATTGAAATGTTGTAAGGTGACAAATTTATCTTAAAATTTAATATAGAAGCTGTTCTGCTAGTGCCTGTTTTAACTATAGGATCTGATAACTTCAGCAGAATATGAGAAATATTAACAGAAGGTTCGTCTTTTATATCAGGAAACACAAAAGTTCAAGTCGGTTTGATCTTCAAAAAAGTGACTAGAAAGTCGTTTTGGCTATCGGGGTATCTTGACACTATTTTTCCAACAAAATACTCATAAGGTTGCTTCTTTCCTACGTTAAGTACCTTTGTTTCAACATATTCACCGTCATGAAGAACAATTGCTGCATGTGGAGCAGTATTAATAATATAATCATTAGACGATTCGACGAATCCATGGTATATCCTTCAGATTCGATTGATTGCTGCAATAAAATATCAGCAGAAGAGTAGGAGTCCATCAATATAGCCCTTGTCGTTTCATTTGGTTTCTTGATGGAATCAACAGTTATGCCTTGCAAATTTTGAGCAGTTTTCAGATCTTTTCCGCATTTTCGTTGTTTTTTTTATTTGCTTCATCCTTGGTTTTTTGCAGTCCTTCTATTCTTTGCTTTTCCGGAGTATCTGTGTAAATTTGCGATTTACTCATTCGTTTTCCTTTTCTGGTTGAATGGTTACGGTAAATTTTTGGAAATAACAGTTTTACAAATAATGGGTGATGAAATCAAATTAGATGTGATGCTCGAGTTTGAGAAAAACCCACGTACATTGCCATCCATCGATAGTAAACTATTGAAAGAAAATAAAATGAATCTCTATAAAATGACACCTACTCAGGAGCTCATGGAAGACGATTTCATAAAAGATATTATTTTCGTGAGCAAACGATGGACATATTGGATAACAATATCATCCAATTAGAAGGCGATATGTTTTCTGATGAGTGTACTTTGTCTTTTAACGGTCATGCTAATCTGCAAAATTGCTGCTACTGGTCAACGAAAACTCATCACTGGATGATAGAAGAACACACGCAATACCCTCAAAAGGTTAATGTTAGGGCAGAGATTGTAGGAAATCATATCACTGGTCCTTTTTTCATCTAGGATAACTTGAATGGCGATAATTATTTGGCACTACTTCAAAATTATGTCATTCCAAGTTTTGCAAATTCATATCCTGGTCTAGGAAACCCTCAAGTTCCAGTGAATACGATATGGTTTCAGCAGGATGGAGCACCACCACATTACCAAGTTAATGTTCGGCAATACCACGATACAATATTTCCCAAACGGTAGATAGGGAGGCGAGGATCGATTGAATGGTCAGCGCAATTTACTGATCTTTCATCATTAGATTTCTTTTTATGGGAATATGTAAGGAGCAATGTGTAAAAAACTAAAACTTCAGATTTGGATGACTTAAAACATCGAATAACGCTTGCGATTAAGTCGGTCATGCCTGATATGTTAAATAATGTTAGAAGAGAGTTTTATTTGAGATTAGGATGTTACCAAGACGTTCGTGTTGAACATTACGAACATCTACTTAGTTAATATCCAGGCTACTGAGTCGCATTGAAAGTTTGGTATGCCTGAGTGAGACAGGAGCCATGAGAACGACCCCAACTGCAGCTCTTGATGTTTTGTTTGGATTTCCATCACTGCATACCTATATTAAAGAAGAAACCCGAATGGTGAAACACCGGCTAATACAGGAGCCAATTCGGAACAGCTAGCCGCACGGGAAAAAACCTGTAACTGTAGGCAAATTTAATACTGAAAATGTCAGTGGACAATATTGTCTCACAGGAAAATTTCAATAAAAGCTTCAAAATTCTGCTTCAACAAGCAGATAAGACTGGAAGAACGGTCCATTGGTTGGAGCGGCGGACAAAACTACTACAAAGAGGATAAGCTAGCCTATATGGATGCAGAGCGAAGACTCAGCCTCGGACAAAATTCAAGAGTGTTTCAGTCAGAAATTGCTACTAACGAACACTGCGTAGGAGAATTACTCAGGA